GTGAATACATCTCATACTACTGATTTACTGGTAGTCACGAAAACAATACTTAATTCGAAAAATAAAATATAAAGTAGCTTTATACGATGTATTCATCCTATTTCCTTTAAGATGATGACAGACTGGAATGATGAAGTGAGATGAAGGACTCTTCATCACCTTGAACGAAATTGGGTGAATACATCTTATATTACTTTATATTTGTAGTCATTTCATCCTGCTTTCGCAACTTGCTAATATTGGTAGAAAGACTATGAGGAAGTCACCTTGTCCTGAGTGCAAAGTATGAATAATAACCCCCAGAGTCGGACCGTTCCCAGAAGTTTCGCCGGCATCATCAGGGAGTCTTGCCAGTCTCAGCAACCAAGCTACAACTGGTCAAAGAGACCAGTGAAGTCAACTCCTTGACCAGCTTTCTGTAGAAACGGTGATGCTGGTTCTATTCATTTTCTACCCTCTAGTCCCGCCCTTGTCCTATCACAACTTTATGACATGTTTATATTGGACAGGAGATGTGCCCTTTTGTCGAACTTACCATGGCGTCATCAGACATGCTGTTTGCATTCCTTCCCTTCCTTTCGAGTGGCAGATCCTGCTCCAGTCTCCTGTCCGGATCTGCCTCATGGGCCCGTAGGTCCATTTCTTATCTTCTTCCCTGGCACGTACCAAGTCGCCTTGGTCATAATGCCCAATTTTTGCTGTGACCCAATCCCTCGCCCTGGTCACGTGAAACGTCACACCCCCAAAGTTGTAGTTGTTTATTCGAGCTGACCACACTCGCTTGATTTACGAGACTTCTTCATCCTCTTCTCCCTTGAGATCCTTTTCCCTCTGGTTTACGATAGATCCTTGATCTAGGCGTCTCTTTTTTCATCTGTCTGTTAGTATCCTTGTTTTCTTCCAGTTTGGTGCGGAAAATGGCGAGACTCACTGACGATGTCGTCTACAATGTCAGAGATGGATACTATGAGGCAAGAGGGAGACTGTGATAAGACCTAGGGAAGGAGGACTGCGTGACAATGTTGCAGACTCTGACCAACGTTCCCAGCACAAGGGTGAAGAGGGGTGAGAAGGCCAGTGTGGAGTGTGGAGGGTTCTCGTGGAAGCCGCTCACAAGGGCAGACCACACAACATCGTATCTACATTTAAATATGCAAGTAAGAAATTGTGATATTGAAGGTGTGATTCGAGGATATAGGAAAAAAAGAGGAGATACCACAACTGTTTAGCACACGTTTGGTCAAAGGATCGGCTTGACTTGTCTCTTTGACGAGTTGTTGTGTGGTACTAAGAGTGGCCAGACTCATTGACGATGCCGACGAAACGTCTGGGAATGTACCAAATCTACGGTCTGATTCTTGAGATTATCATGCATACTCTGTATTCCGGACTAGGTGTGTTCCTCTAGGTTGCGAAAACAAGGTCAAACAACTTTTTTTACAACTAAAGGAGACTGCGACAAAATAGAGGCTACAAAATATTGAGCTTTGTATCTGCTTTATAGTCTTGGGGGAACATACATATTGTATGAAAGTGCATGAAGAAATAGGGACTCGTCTTCATGCAATTTCATACAAAATGAAAGTCCCCCCCCCAATGTTAGCTCAGGAGATTAATCGAAACCCAGTTTCACTTCGTATCTACTTTATATTTGTCTATCGACTACATTACTCATATTCGTATTAAGTAGTTTTCAACCGTAACATTATATCTTGACTAGGAGTTGTAATGTTGTAGTAATTGCAACTTGGCTTGCCGTGAAATTCTCGTCCGCCCTGTCAACTACAGGAAACTGTGGAAGTCATGTGTAGGGGTGACATGTCGAACTTACACGGTTCACTACCAGAAGAGCGATGGAAACTGAAGTTCACGCTGGAATAGAACATCTCTTGGGGAGAAAGGAGGAATGGAAATGTGGAAAAATTTAACCATCACAGTCCGTATACTCATATCATTTAACTGCCAGTTCCCTTAGCAGCCAAAACGAAAATGATTAAATAGTATTCATATATCTGATCCACTGATGGTCTCGAAAACCTGCTTATGAACGAAAAATAGGCCATGCAATCAATTGCTATAGCAACTACAACTTTGATTCATCGGCAATTTCCCCACAGAATGTGATGTGAGAAAATGTGTAGACTTCCTTAAAGCTCACATCTGCCCTGTGACCCATTAACCCTCTTTGCAGTATGACGTAGTGATAAACGTGTCGAGACTATACATTGCGCAAGCACGAATTGGGTTAAAGTCCCGCTGAGGGTACTGATGAGACCAGTTCATTAGAGGTCGAAACGACATTTCATTCCAGCCGAGATAAGAATACCTTTTGAGAAGGCAAGGCTGTATGGAATTCTATTATTCGCAGCTTTGTGGGAAAATTCCACAACTACTCTTTATGTCAAATCTACCAGACAGTCTCAAAAACCTGCCTATAAACGAAAAACTGGTGTGTGTTTGTGTGTGAATTGTATGCATGCACCGAGTATGAGTGATGAGAGAAGATTGAAGCCTTCTTAGGGAGGGTTCAAGAGTGCGCTGTCGTTGGGCTCATCCAGCGTCTCCAGACACGTCGCCGTCGGAGGCATCTTACCAATCACGAGGTCTCGTTGCCACGGCCAACGGCGACAGAGACCGACTCGTCTGGACGACCCTCCTGTTGCTTTGTTGGTCGTCTCGGAGTGTACCCGTTGTCGAGGCGGGACC